AAGGTAAGTGGCGATCAAACCAGCTCCGATACCAAATTGCAAGGAACATGAGTATGGACGAAGCACAGAAATCCAGAATGCAATATCACACTGAAGTCCAAGTATTCAAAGCCAAAGCAGATAGTACAATGGAACCGAGTAACCATCCAATTGAGAATGCTACAGAAGAATCGTGAGTCAATGTCCATGCCCAACAGGGCAACACCAACAGCATAACCCAAATGTAGCTCTCTCTTGTGAATGGCGCCAGGCGCCCTATCTACTCTACAGCCTATCCTACAACTACAGCAATGAAAGCAACTAGACAACTTGACTACCAGCGAGTGATGATGTCAACACCAATGCCGTACTCCACCATCACCAGGTATGTGTCCTCTTCCCCACACTCTCCCTTGTTACCCACACAGCGCCCTTCACCTCCGAAGACCACCTTCGCCCTACACCCTCACTGCACCCTCATGCAGCCCGGCTATGGCCGCCAGTGCCTTGCATGCAGGCAGCGCCCTACCGCCTAGCGCTTGCCTGCTTCACCTCAGCGCAGCGCTGCTCATGCATAGCGCAGCACACATGCATCCGCGCAGCGTGCCCGCAATGCCAGCATTGGCCAAGATACCTGCCCACTCGCCCTGCTTGCCTATATGCCAGTGCAGCGTGTGGGCGGCCTCCCTTCAGCCTGTGACCGGGACCCAGAGGCTGAAGCCAACCCGATACAGTTGGGCCCCGGGGCAATGCAGTTGTGCCTCTTTCATCAAGACCTGAGGCCAGATTCAGATAGTGGGCTGATTTCCCTTTGGCATTTTCGGCCTCTATACCCAGCATGCATTGTCGGCCTCATGTTCGAGTGCCCAGGGCCTAACTAACTCAGAGGCCCTGGGCTTTCAGCATTTGCTGAAATCCGAGACTCGGAGCACTCCAACCAACTGGCGTGCTGCAACTGTATGGACCCCACTTCGTGAAATGTTGGCACAGAGGGCTCTTGTTGATTTGCTGGCCCGCCTTCACTTAGGGCGGGCACGAGGCTTGCTGGGGCCTTAGCCCAGAACATGTACATCATGGCAAGGCCCCTACTTGAGGGCTCAATCCTCACACAAGTCTGATGAACCATCATGTATGCCTCTGAAATAATATTGTTCTACTTGGCAGCCATCTCATCCTACCGCCTAAACCACCAGGTCACGGACCCCTACTATTCACCAAAACCCAGTTGACTACGACCGTGGCAAAACGAACAGTGATCCAACTCGGCGTAGGTTTGGAGGGAAACGGCTGAATGTGAAATAGACGGAAAACAAAAGAAAGTAAATGCTGGACTGCACTATTTACTCAGACGCCCTGCCTTGCTGGCAGGGCACTAATCTTAGAAAGAAACAAAAGCAAAAAATAAGAGAAAACAAAGACCGATTTAGACGTAATATCCGCCAAGTAGATTCTGGAAAGTAGTGTGAGTATGCCCTGAGTGAGGGCATTCCCGAGAATGTCAATAGGGGGAAAGAAGCACACACACTAAAAAAAAGGAACGGTAGATATGGCCGTGATAGTGGTCACTGGTCAGATATATCCTGGAAAGTACTAGTGTGAGTATTCCCCTAGTGAGGGCTTTTCCTGAGAAGGTGGAATACGCCCTGCCTTGATGGTAAGGCACTAACAGGAAGAAGGGGGGGCGGGAAAGAAAAATTTTGGCCATGATAGTGGTCAGATACATTCTGGACAGTACCATTGTGAGTATGCCCTGGGTCAGATGCCTTCACCAACATATCTTTTCTTTTCCTTTCATGAAACAGCAATGGCCTCTGTTCATCATTGATCTGGATTTAGTTTTTTTCTTTTTTTTTGCTTGTCTTTTTGGTGCCATCTGCTGACAATATATACAACACTTGATTTTCAAGGTAGGCTGGTTCCGGTACCTCGAGACTTTCCTTTTCAGCCTGTTTCTGTAGCAGTCAGGTTCAGGAAGCTGCAACTTTTTAGTTCGTCAATTTAGGTTTGTGTGAACTGGTGGTTTAATCATCTACTCCATCAACAGTCGTTGGAAGAGTGGAGTACTAATTGGGAGAGTAGGGGCATATCAGGGTCGGCTCCCTCCTTCAGTTTCCCCTTATGGCATCAACCAGGGCTGCCCCTCCCTTCAACATCTTCTTTTTCTAATCCACCTCCTTTTTCTTCTGCTCCATAGCTTGCTTCGCCTTCTCGATCTCCTTTTCTCGTTCTACCAGCTCCTCTTCTCCCTCCACATCAGCTATGCAGGTATCCAGAGGCTCCTTCTTAGCCTCCACCCATTTCACTTATGGGTTTTCTTCGATGACTGCAAGGGCCCCCTTTGCTTGGTTCCCCTTTCTCCTTACCCTTTTCTGTAGTTTTCTTTTCTTTTGTCTTTCCTCCTCCTTTCTTTACTTCCCCCTTCTTTATTTCTTCCCTTCCTCCTCAGTCTCCACTGCTTCTGTCTCTTATACACATCTAGATGTGTATAAGAGACAGGTCCTTACCCTTTTCTGTAGTTTTCTTTTCTTTTGTCTTTCCTCCTCCTTTCTTTACTTCCCCCTTCTTTATTTCTTCCCTTCCTCCTCAGTCTCCACTGCTTTCAACTCTGCCAGCTCCTCTTCTCCCACATCAGCTATGCAGGCCTCCAGAGGCTTCTTCTTAGCCTCCACCCGTTTCACTTGGGTTTTTCTTCTATGACTGCAAGGGCCCTCTTTGTTTGTTTCCCCTTTCTCCTTCTTAGCCTCCACCCATTTCACTTACGGGTTTTCTTCGATGACTGCAAGGGCCCCCTTTGCTYGGTTCCCCTTTCTCCTTACCCTTTTCTGTAGTTTTCTTTTCTTTTGTCTTTCCTCCTCCTTTCTTTACTTCCCCCTTCTTTATTTCTTCCCTTCCTCCTCAGTCTCCACTGCTTTCAACTCTGCCAGCTCCTCTTCTCCCACATCAGCTATGCAGGTATCCAGAGGCTCCTTCTTAGCCTCCACCCATTTCACTTATGGGTTTTCTTCGATGACTGCAAGGGCCCCCTTTGCTTGGTTCCCCTTTCTCCTTACCCTTTTCTGTAGTTTTCTTTTCTTTTGTCTTTCCTCCTCCTTTCTTTACTTCCCCCTTCTTTATTTCTTCCCTTCCTCCTCAGTCTCCACTGCTTTCAACTCTGCCAG